ACTACTACTACTACTACTACTACTACTACTACTACTACTACTACTACTACTACTACTACTACTACTACTACTACTACTACTACTACTACTACTACGACGGCCAGATGCGTACAGGCAATGCCTATCGTCAAGAGAATAGCACCTGTGCGTAGTTAGGAGGTCACGGGCTAAGTAGCTAAATGCTAAAGCCACTCGAAATCCCATCGATGCGTAGTAGGGTAATGCAGCATAAGCACACAAAGGTTGCTGCACAATAGGGCGCTGGCTGCCACCACTGCCGCTGCTGCAGCCTTGACCATGAATCGCTGCAGTCTTGGCCTTGAATCGCTGCACGCGTGCTCCCGCCCGAATGGCGAGATGACGACGCTTTTAGACTCAGTATCGCCGACACCTAGTAGGTGCGCATCGCCAAACTGCATCCAACCATGAGCCGCAGTCTGGCGCTTGAATGTAAATTCTCAACCTGGGTGCCTGACTCTTCGCTAACGCCTGCAGCGTACGACCCTCACCCACGCCGCACGGTGTGGTATGTCGAGTACCTCACCACCAACGGGCTACTGCCGTCCAGCACATCTGCTCTGCCCCGTAGTCGAAGATCGCTCTGGCCGAGAGTGCTGTCGAGGTGACCAACTAGTTCGAGTCGACGACGAGGAATCTGGCTAGCGACGAGAGACGTGATTGGGGATGACGGGGAAAGCCGTGGCACTGATTCGGCAGCGGAGGCATAGCCATGGTATCGGCTGGCGGCGAGGAGTCGCCATGGCATTGCATCTGCGTCGCGAAGTTGCCCCAGCACGGAGTCGGCCGCATGGCGGGGCCCTGGCGACGAGGAGTGCAGCCACGGCAGTAAGTGGACGATGGAGAGGAGCCGGACGACCGATAGGAAATCCAACATGTATATCCTGCACCCTGCGACTGCCGCTGGTCTGTCATGTTACCAGCGATCCTCGGAGACCGCCAGCAGCCCCAGCCGTGATGCATGTCGTCGCCTGGCTGTGTGGCAGCAAAGCACCACGTTGGTCTTCCCGCATCTTCCACCCCCACGCTCGACGAGCCTCAGCAGCTATGTCGACGCTCAGACCCAGTCACGGCGTGCGTGCAATCGGCACTCAACCTTTGCCTGGGCGATGGTCTACATTGCGGACCGCAGCCCCCGCAACCGCGTGATCGACAAGCCGCCTCCCCTCGGCGATCATATACGTGCGCAATGCCTTCTTCGTGTGCCGGACCTTCGACAGACCACATCCGTCGGGCCATTCGCCACCACAGCCCCTCGCCGTACCATGCCGTGCTCATCGACCAGTGCCTCCGGATGTAGCGACTCCGCTACCACGCGGTGCCCCAGCGCTCGCCACGCCCTACCACCATCCAGCGACACGTCAGGCATGATTCTTGCACTCAAGTCGTTCTGCCATCACCCAGCACGCCCCAGCCAGCGGCACGAGTAGCGCGTATGTTGGCAGCTCGTCGATGTTCGCGTCGGAGGGAGCGACATCGTGCCCGCACAACCCCTTCACACCGCTGGCTCGGTCAACATCCGCGCTGGCTATGCTGGTCGTCCGCGCTCAGATTCCTTCGCCCATCGACACATCGATCCAAGCCCAGCGACTCTGGCCATGCTGCACTTCACCATCAACCGCAATGGAGCGCATGCTGCATCGATAGCCGACGCCAGGTTCGGCGGCGGCTCGCGCCCCCCGGTGCTTTGCCAGCAGAGGGTGCGTCGACACGTCTTCTCCCGCCCAGCAAAACCTCAACCTTTGCGCTTCGCCACTACCCAGCATAAACCGCCAGAGCCTCACCAAGCAGCTTTCGACGTGGCGATGAAGATGGCGCCGTGGCTTACGACACAACAGTCTCCTCCTCCGCGCTTGCTTCCAGCCAGCGATTCTAGTCTTGCTGCTGTGCTTGATGCTTCAATGACCAGCCCCGCGCGCAGCGATTGATCCCTCCTACTATGCAACCCACCTTCGTTCTACTTCGACGCCCCATCACACGTCCAGCGAGCCTAGTCCTGCTACCATATGCAACACCTCGTTAGCTGGCCACGTGCGCAGCGACTAATCCCTCGCGTGTGCAGCCGACAATCTTTCCTGCCTCGACGCCGCATCACAAACCTAGCGAGCCTGGTCAGGCTGCTCTTCCGTGCGTTCCACGCACATCGAGAACGAGTAGCACACGCGGCGATACCTCTTGCCACTTTCATTACCTCATGGCTCATGTTCTTCGACGATGCAACACATTGCTGGCGATGTCGGCTGTGCTCTGATTCAAATTTGTAGAGAGCAAGCGCGCAAGACGTCTGCGATCGCGTGCAAGGGCAGCGATTCATGTACTCCCTGTCCCTGCGAACGCTCTGCTTTGTTCGATAGAATGGCTGGGCCTGGCGGTCTTGACCCTGCTGCGCTTCAACAGAAGCCCACTCGGGCATCGACGACCAATGGCGATGGTAGCGACGAATTACTGAATTCGTTCTGAGGAAAGTCTCTTGGTCCTTCGAAGAGCCAAGTCAATCCCAGCGATCTTGCATAGCATACGCTTCCCAAGGAAGGTGGCAACAGTTCACTGTCCACTGCTGCACATCGGCGCTGCGCCCTAACGTCAGCGAAAACACACTCCAAGCTGATAGTCCCACCCCGTGGTACTGTTCTCGACACGGCAGCCGCCTCAACCCGCTGTAGCGATAGCAGATGCGATAGCATTCAGTCGCACGATCACAGCCTTATCAGTGCATCGCCAACCCTCCTATAGCCTAGCGATGGCATATTCTACCCAAGGCCATTGCCCTTCCGGAGCCCTGTTTCGTACGTCGATAATCTCGCCCGAAAGGGCAATAGCATGTTCCACCTCCTTTCACACCCGCTTGGAATACTTTCCTCGCCCATCGACAACTAATTGCCCACTAAGCGATAGCAAGTTCTATGCAACTTCTCATCAACTCCTAACACTTTCTTTGAACATCGGCAGTCTTCCTATGGCCCAGCGAAAGTACCTTCTACATATGTTCCCCTCCCTTCCTTACCCATCGCCCAGCCTCTCCGTCGCCAGCGATGTTACATTCTGCATCTATTCCCTCTGCTTCCTGGCCCTTTCTCAACACATCGCCAGCCTCTTCATTGCTGAGCGAAAGCACTCTCACATATGTTCCCTTTCCTTCCTGACCCTTTCTCATCACATCGCCAGCCTCCCCAT